AATGTACATCCTATGTAATATTAGATTATATAATCCAGAAAATATATTATTTAAAAATGGCAAAAAGGCAAAGTACAGTCAAATCCTTGTACACACTATAGCAGCCACCTGAGTGACTTCATTAAAATGGTCTTTATGGACAGGTGGTTTTTATATGGAGGTTGGATAAATTTTTCATGGATCACTCATACATTTGTCATATTTGCCCAGGAAATGAGATGATACTGTTGCGATAAAAACACATTTACCCAAATTGAAAAACAAATGTTTTTGACTTGATGAATATTAATTATTATTTTAGTATATATTAAAGGCAATTAGCCACAATTTTGCTGAAAGCCTGGTCACACAAAACTGGTGGTCTCAATACAGAGGATGCTCATATGTCATGCCATGGGACTGCTTAAAAGTGGTCACTATAGACAGGTGGTCTCAATACAGAGGATGCTCATATGTCATGCCATAGGACTGCTTAAAAGTGGTCACTATAGACAGGTGGTCTCAATACAGAGGATGCTCATATGTCATGCCATGGGACTGCCTAGAAGTGGTCACTATAGACAGGTGGTCTCAATACAGAGGATGCTCATATGTCATGCCATGGGACTGCTTAAAAGTGGTCACTATAGACAGGTGGTCTCAATACAGAGGATGCTCATATGTCATGCCATAGGACTGCTTAAAAGTGGTCACTATAGACAGGTGGTCTCAATACAGAGAATGCTCATATGTCATGCCATAGGACTGCTTAAAAGTGGTCACTATAGGCAGGTGGTCTCAATACAGAGGATGCTCATATGTCATGCCATGGGACAGCTTAAAAGTGGTCACTATAGGCAGGTAGTCTCAATACAGAGGATGCTCATATGTCATGCCATGGGACTGCTTAAAAGTGGTCACTATAGGCAGGTGGTCTCAATACAGAGGATGCTCATATGTCATGCCATAGGACTGCTTAAAAGTGGTCACTATAGACAGGTGGTCTCAATACAGAGGATGCTCATATGTCATGCCATGGGACTGCTTAAAAGTGGTCACTATAGACAGGTGGTCTCAATACAGAGGATGCTCATATGTCATGCCATGGGACTGCTTAAAAGTGGTTACTATAGACAGGTGGTCTCAATACAGAGGATGTTCATATGTCATGCCATGGGACTGCTTAAAAGTGGTCACTATAGACAGGTGGTCTCAATACAGAGGATGCTCATATGTCATGCCATGGGACTGCCTAGAAGTGGTCACAATGGACAGGTGGTCTTTATACACAGGTTGCTAATATGTTATGTCATGGGACTGCCTAAAAGTGGTCACTATGGACAGGTGGTCTTTATACACAAGTTGCTAATATGTTATGGCATGGGACTGCCTAAAAGTGGTCACACAAGACAGGTGGTCTCTATACACAGGTTGCTAATGTTATGCCATGGGACTGCCTAAAAGTGGTCACTATGGACAGGTGGTCTTTATACACAGGTTGCTAATATGTTATGCCATGGGACTGCCTAAAAGTGGTCACTATAGGCAGGTGGTCTTTATACAAAGGTTGCTAATATTTTATGGCTTGGGACTGCCTAAAAGTGGTCACACAAGACAGGTGGTCTCTATACACAGGTTGCTAATTTGTTATTCCATGGGACTGCCTAAAAGTGGTCACTATGGACAGGTGGTTTTTATACACAGGTTGCTAATATGTTATGGCTTGGGACTGCCTAAAAGTGGTCACACAAGACAGGTGCTCTCTATACACAGGTTGCTAATATGTTATGCCATGGGACTGCCTAAAAGTGGTCACAATGGACAGGTGGTCTTTATACACAGGTTGCTAATATGTTATGGCTTGGGACTGCCTAAAAGTGGTCACACAAGACAGGTGGTCTCTATACACAGGTTGCTAATATGTTATGCCATGGGACTGCCTAAAAGTGGTCACTATGGATAGGTGGTCTCTATAGAGAGGATGCTCATATATTATGCCATGGGACTGCCTAAAAGTGGTCACACAAGACAGGTGGTCTCTATACAGAGGATGCTCAAATGTCATGCCATGGGACTGCCTAAAAGTGGTCACACAAGACAGGTGATCTCTATACAGAGGATGCTCACATGTTATGTCTGCCTAAAAGTGGTCACTATAGGCAGGTGGTCTTTATACAAAGGTTGCTAATATGTCATGGCTGGGGACTGCTTAAAAGTGGTCACACAAGACAGGTGGTCTCTATACAGAGGTTGCTTATATGTTGGTTGCTTATATGTAATATTGGTCACTATAAAGAGGTGGTCTTTATATAGAGATGCTGGTCACTATAAGCAGGTTTGACTATAAAACATTTTTGATTTTCCTTCACTGTATTTTATACTGCATCCAATATTCAAATTCAAATCACAATTTTTGCAACATATTACAAACACCGTAAAATGGTTTCCTGAATTATTTCCCGAAAATGCCCCTTATTTAACTTTGCTCAAAAAACACCCTTTACTTTGGAATCAATAAAAATGCACCCCAAATGTTACATGGGGGTACTTGTTATGTTTGCAAACAGCTTTTCCTACATGATAGTTTACTGTAAAATACTTTATTTTCGCTTGAAATTAATTTTCGCTATTTTCACTGAAAGAATGATTTAGTGAAAGTAAATCCTTCGAATATACCTTTTTCATATATTTTACCTTCAACTTGTCAAAAATCAGTGAAAATAAATTCCATGCAAAACAAAAGTCTTTTCAGTGAAAATTTATTCCAGCTAAAATAAAAGTATTTCACAGTATGTGAGTGACCTCGCTCTCATGGGCGAAAGTGAAACACCAATGACGCAAGGATAAGGAAATGGTTATCAAGCAATTTTAATTATTAAAACGTGGATGTGTAGGAAGCAAAATTTCATTTTAACGCTTGAAAAAAATGCATTGCATTGCATTGGTAATTGATTGCAGTCTCAGAAAGCATCAGATGCAATTGTACATGTCAAGTAAAATACTTGTAAAAGCTTTAATATAATTAAACCATGTTCCAGCCAGTCCATGCAGACATATCAATATCAACTAGTCTCTTTTCTGTTTCACTTTGTTATTTTTTTTTTATTCTGACAGAGGTCATATAATGTCTCAGAGCAAAAGAATAATTTGGTAATCAAGTGAATACATTAAAGTACATTGTATGCATGAAAGCAATATGGCAATCGTAGAAATTAACAAAATCACAGACCGTACAAGTGCGTATTGTGCTTTACTCTCATGATAACATATTTTACATGTGTAATACATCTTTTTTTAGTTTGTAATAGACTTGCATACAGTCACTTGTTTATTTTTTTGTATTTTTTTCAATAAAGTAAAATATCATTGGAGTGTGCAAATGGTGTTACCGGGAAAGTCAGGTTATCACAAAATAAAGACTGTGGATGCCCTCTTACAACACCAGTGATGACTGTCACCGGTCTGGGTTCAGTGCGTGATGCAATGATTGACAGCTTCATTAATATTCTACCAATCAGTGCTAACTCGCCAAAATTGAAATTCGATTTGTCTTGATAGAAACCGCACCAAAACTGAAATTTCGCACGCCTGCATTTTCATTTGCAGATTCTTTATGATGGCATGCCGAGGGAGCATCAAAAATGCACTAAAGATACTTCAACGATACCGATGAGAAGATGTTAATGCGTACACTTATGGTCATGATATTTATGTGAGTGTTGGTCTATCAAATCACTGATGACCTGAACTCAATTTTCTGACAGGCATGAGTCGATTATAAATACATTCCTGAGCTTTCTGTGACAGTTATGATGCTTGTTTTTTGTTGATGTGCTAGCGATCGCTTGCCCACTATTCTCGACCATTTTGAAAGAATGTAAAATCCTGTCATTGAAAAGCTAATTAATACTAATAGCAAGAAACCTGTGTAAGGGTCACAAGTTTATTTCCCCGGTAACTCTCTTTCGCCATTTATACACTCCCATATTTTATTTTATTAAAAAAAGCACCAACAAAATAAACAAGAGGTATGCAAGTCTAAGCTTGTAATAATAATTTAGAAAGATACA